AGAAAAGAAAAGAAAAGAAAAGAAAAGAAAAGAAAAGAAAAGAAAAGAAAAGAAAAGAAAAGAAAAGAAAAGAAAAGAAAAGAAAAGAAAAGAGGGTCAGAACAGAACATTTACTGTCTCTTTTCTCCAGCCACTTAAAAACAAAATTCCAAGATGACTTTTTTTGTTTGCTTCCCCCAAGAAGACAGACATTGTGCCAGCTTCCTGGGAGTCACAGAATACAGAGCAGGGTGCAGACACTCCCTAAATGCCTCAGACCAGAACGTCTGTGGGGCAGCTCAACTCCTTGGCTGCTGGCCATGAAGTCAGAGCTCTGTTCAATTCCATCCTGTCACAGGTGGACTGACCTGCTTGTGTCCAGGGCAGGATAGATGTGCCTGCTGTTGTCGTGTAACACTCGTGCTTACACAGTGCCTAAAGCCCCGTCGGCAATATGCAGATGATCTCGTCCCAGGGGACAAAAGGCACTATCAAACATTTGCTATTTCATATGTATAAATACATTTGACAACTTTAGAACTGTGTGAGCAAGTAAGTGTCTGAAGTAGAGGGCAAATTCATAGCAATTTTCTCTCCTTGAGTATCTTCCCCTGGGAGGGAACTTTTTGAGAGGCTGTGTTCATTTTCCTGTGACTACAGAGAACAATAGAAACCAGAATGATCTTTACAGAGCCCCCTCCTCCTTCATGGTGTTAGTTAGCATGCAGAGAGCTGCTCTGTGGACAGGAGAAAGACATACATAAAGAGTCCAAGGAATGCTCCTGCTTTGCTCTTCCGAAATTACTGTTTAGAGCAAGGTACAGCACAGTAGGCATGAAGATGCCAAATACAGCCCTTTCATGTAGCTTTTAGCAGCAAGGACACAGATGTACCTCTGCTATCCTCCATCACTGGATTATGATTTCTAAAATTTTCAGGTGAGGGCTGGAATATCTCCATCTTGAGCTGTAGAAAAAAGTTGCAAAATTTGTCACATTTAGAAGAAAAGGGAGTGGAGGTATGTGATGCCACCTTCTCTTTGTTTTCTGGTACCTTTGTATTTTAATTGGACACACAAATGAAGAGACAAGGAACCATTTTATGGCTACACTATTTGCCACAGTGAGAGTTGCTTTTCAGAGATCCCAGTACTGGAGAAAGAAATATTATTTATTTTTTGGTATGAAGAATAGATGTGTTCACTTCCTTCCCTTGGAAAAAGGCATGAAAAACTATCCCCCTGTAATGAGGGGGTCCACTTTTGTCAAAGCATCATGACTGCAAGCACAGAGGGTTAATCTAGCATCTCATGTAGGTTAAATTATTTTTAAAGGGTAGGATGCCATTAAAACACATGAATAAACTTAATACTATGGCAGAAAGAAATGGAAATCAACTCATCCCTTGCAAAACAGCAGCCTTGAAATTTGCCCACCATTGTTTGTACCATATTGAGTGTCCTACTTCGATTTAATTATACAAACCAGAACAGCAATACAGGTAAAACAAAATAAATAGGTACACAGATAGATATCTACATATATGTATAGGCACACACACACAAAATAGCTTATACACAAAGATCTGTGCCAAACAGACTAGGATTTTTGTTGAGATACTGAATGCTTCCCAGCACTGCAGTGTCATCTTCATAGGAAAAGTTTGCTTAGCTCCAACAAGCACCACATAATAAGTTCACTTATTTTTCCTTTCTCTGGTTAGAAATTACAAATTGCACCCCAAGATCCAAATCAACTTAACAAAAAAAGAAAAGTGCAATACCTATATTAAAAGCTGTGGCTACTCTTATTTGTTGTAATTTAAAGAAAAAAGCAATGCTGCTAAAAAATTCTTCTTCTGTTTGTTTGCCATGATATAGACTGCTTTTCTATATTATCAATCACGAATGAGTCAGAAAAGTGCCTTCTTTGTCTTCCTACATCTCTGTAAATCTGAAGCAATGTCAGTAAAACTGGGAGGTTAAAACCTGCCTGACAAAAGAGCAAAATTTTTTGATTTGAAGGCAAAACACCAATGACTACAGACGTTCCCTGGCTAAAAGAGACAGTCAGAGACACTGGGAAAATTCTGTGCTCTTTTTCACCCACAAAATGCAGACACTTTCCTTTCTGGGTTTATTTTCCCCCACTATTTTACCTAAGCTGTCACTTCTGTTAAACTGTTCATTGTGAAAGTTAAGCTGTCTCTAGAGATGCATCCAGACTGCTGCCTTCTACAAGTTTCCCAAAGATAAAAGTAAAGCTATGGCTACAGATTACTAATGCCTTCCAACCTCACAACAGTTGCTCCAAAACACAAAGGGCCACCTGACTTGCTTTTAGTCACGTCCTTGCCACTTCTCAAAGACCTGGAACTTTGCTGGATTTAAGCCCATCACATATTGGCAGTAAAATCCCCACAATTTCCCTCAAAGTTTCCCCCAAAATTACCCTTTCTTGAAATAGGTTTTGAGCTCTTTGTTCTACCCACCCTCTTCTCTCAGTGCATGGAGTCAGTTTATGCAAATCTGCTCACTCCAGATTTCCTGATCACATATCATCTGAAGGGCAGGGCAGACTTTTCATCTTCTGCCACCAAGAAGATCACTGTGGTTTTGATACCCCTCTGCTCAATGTAAACCCAAAAAACATATCATTAAAGTCATAAACACATAATTAAAGTTAATAGTTAAACTATTAATAATCTCATTGCAAATTTACAGTCATAATTATAGCAGTACATGAATAGCCATTCAGTCAGAGCTTATATTATGATTGGTCTTTTCCAAGACTATTAAAATGGGTCTGTGTCTGCATCTTTCACTTTCTCTCTCAAGTTTATAGGCAAGTGAAAACCTCCATTCTTAATCAAAGAAGGTTACACTCCAAACTCATCAAGGATAAGTTGCTTTCATTTTTTTCTCATTTCCAAAGGAATAAAAAAAAGAAAACAACAAAAAGACTACTTAAAGTACAAAACAACATCCAACAGCTATAAAGCAGTATCTGAGCTGGCGTCCTTTAGCTGATGATTCTTTGAGACATTTACACTCCCTATGTTTCTGTTGTGTCCAGTCCAATGGTGTTGTCTGGCTCATGGGCTCCCTTTTACTTGCTTTCAAGATTCAGTGTCCATCTCTTCCCACTAAGGGAAGAAGAAGTGCCTGCCTCTTTGTCCAAGCTTGCTCATCAGAGAGAAAAGCAAATCCTCATAAAAGCAGTCTTTTATGATATTACATATATTACCTTCAAATACAGGCTAGCCAACTTGGTTTGCCAAGATTTTGTTCCTGTCATTCATTAATACAGTACATTCTCTGTTTATTTTTTATAGCAGTTAGACTTCCCTCAGTTTACCATCACTGACTACACCACTGGATCGTCCTAATTGAAGTTTGGGGCTGAACATGTTTCAGTATCCACAGTACTGCTCTGGAATTAAATAATTCTTAAATGGGATGTGAGTGGAACTTAAGAGATTGTGTAAGAGGTCTTCCCTCACTACCATCAGGCTGTAGATAACCTGAATGAGAAGTAATGTGTTTAAAACTCTGTTAGAAAATATTTAGATTCCTAATAATTGGATTGTGGGTCATTATTTGACATAGCCATGGGATGTGTGCTATGGCAGACAAATACCAGATTTGCACATGAGATCACACATTCAAGCAATGACTTCTGCAGCAATGCTATTTCTGAAAATAATGTGATTTTTTTTACAGCAGATATAAATAAATTTCTTTCCGCTGTGGAGCATGAATCTTAATTTTCAAGAATTACTATCACTGCTGGTTCTTTTTAATTTACCAGTGTTTCTGAAATTAATTGTTTTCCTTTTCATTCTTTGGCTACTTCACCAACACTGACCATAGTTAATATTTATAAATGTAATATAAAACATTTTGCATTTTCTGCATACACTGGTATCATGCATGCATTCTGTTTATCAGCAGTGGACTAATGCTCAGAAAATATACTCCATATTGTAAAAATCACCTTTCTAAATTCTTTAAGGACCAATATGTGCTGCCCAGTTAGTGAGACTGATAGCTTGTACTACCTTCTGCAATGTTTGATCTAGCATTCTGGCTTTCTGCAGTGACAGGTCTTCCCGTCACTGTTAGTCTTCCACAGTGTCCTCCTGTTTGAAAAGAAAAAAATTCCAAAAAATTTTTGCATGCACATAAGACTCCGTTCCTGCACAAGTTCATCTCTGTTGAGAGCTCTGGACAGAATGCCTGCTCCATGTATGATTGTGCTATACATTTGAGTTGTAAATCATATCATATTTGCAATCCAGGAGATCTGCCTGCAAAACCCTTTTCAGCAATTGTCACTAATGCCTTGTTACCAGTTCCTGCTAGCACTGGTACCCCATATTAAAACAATGGAGAAAAAAAATTGAGGTTTTTTGCATGCATAGACTACAAGACAGAGCCTCCGACTCTTTTTGTGCATGCTGACATGCTGTTCCAGTCAGGTATCCAGAAGCATATGCCATGGGTCTCCAGTGATCACCATTCCTTGTTAAAAGTGTTGCCCCAAGGCCTTGCTTAGAAGCATCAACTGCCAGCTTTGTTTGGTGCTTATTATCATACACTCTGAGGACAGGTTCCTTCTTTATCAACTGTTTGAGATTCAGCAAGTCCCTGTTGTGATTATCAGTCCAT